ACTCTTGAATTGTGAAAGCTGATAACATTTACATCCTGTTCTGAAATCCATGCTTTTGTTTATAACCGATTCTTTAAGAAACAATCTGTTGAAAGTATATGCTCGTGATATTTACAAAAGTCCAAAGCGGGGGCACCTGGGTGGCTCGGTTGTGTCCAACTCTTGATCTCAGCTCAGGTCTTGAGTTCAGGGTAGTGAGTTCAAGCCCCATGTTGGGCTACACGCCCACACTGGGCGTGAAGACTACTCAAAATGGGGGCGGGGTGGGGGTGGAAAGCTGACCAAAAGTTCAAAGGATATAGTGAAAACCTCTGTACTATTCTAAACCTAGAGACTGTTACCAGTCTCTTGGGTATCTTTCCAGAAGTGATCCTGTGGATGTGTAGTAGCATACTGCATGCACTAATTTTTGCCCTCTACCTTAGAGATTGTTTTGTTAGCATATGTAGGTGTACCTCTTTTTTAATGGCTGTATAATATTTCATCATGTAGATATATAGAACTTGATTTTATAGGTCAAAACCAAAATTTACTTCTCTGGAAATTGTATAAATGTTGGACTTCCTGGATTTATCATTTGGGGTTTTTTTCCCCAATATTTTCATATTTGGTCATTTTGCTTTATGTTCTGAGAAATTTCCCAGACTTGATCTAACAGCGTGTTTTTAAAAACTTTTTTTTGTGTCCCAAATTACCATTTATTTTTTCTTTTTGGCAGGTTGTATTTATGCTGTAAATTTTCCTTAAATGTCTGGTGATCCCTAGGTTTCTGATCATAATCAGGGAAAGGCTAAGGCTAACTTTGTAGACCCCAGCAGATCTTCTCTCTCAAGTTTCTGCCTTGCCTTTGGGATATGTGGGTTTCCCAAATGCTAGTATGAAAGGGATTTTATTTTGTCATACTAACATCAAAGACACTGCCCTAACCCTAGTTCCTCCAATTTGTTCAGAATTCTGTCACTCTTTTTTTATTTGCCTAGGATTAAATGCCTTCCTGCTACCGGGTCGTCTTCCCACATATAGACCTTTAATTAAACCGTTTGCTGTCTCACACTTTTGAGAGCCTCATGTGTTTGCTGTCTCCTTTAAGCTCCTTCAAGAATATTTCAAACTGTGACTTTCTTTCATCAGCAGTCTTCCATCAGCTTTTGTTGAATCTCTGGTTTCCTGATGGCCTTTTCTGTTCTTTGGGTGTATCTTTTCTGTCATTTTAATTGGGTCTTGAGAAGGAAATGAGGAATATGCTCACTCTGTCGGCTTGAAATGGAAGCCCTACTTAACCTATTCCAAACTTGTGATTTTGGTATTTGATTTCTAGGCTCTGCAATCTTCTTCCATTCTCCTGTCAGTCACAGAGGACAAGAGTGCTCAGATTTTATATCTGCCTCTTCACAGGGAGAACAACGAGAACACAAAAAGCAAAGAAAATCTACCTTATAATTAATAATCAGTCTGAGAATTGGAATGCTTTTGCATCTGTCTTGTAGGTCAGAGATTCACAATCATAATAGCAAATACCCAAAGGAAAGGCTGCTGTGGACAGTGGTTTCTCTCAGTTTGCCCTTTTCTCATTCATTCAGCAAAAAAGTTATTGAATGCCTATTATGTGCCAGCAGTGTAGGTGCTGGACACTGGAATTTCTGCAAGTGCTTCCTTACCTGTGTAATTAAAGACATAGAGGGAAAGGGGCGCCTGGGTGACTCAGTCGGTTAAGCATCTGACTCTGCTCAGGTCATGATCTTGTGGCTTGTGAGACTGAACCCAGCTTCGGGCTCTATGCTGACAGTGCAGAGTCTGCTTGGGATTCTCTCTTCCTCTCTCCCTTTCTCTGCCCCTTCCCTGCTTGTGCATGTTTTTGCTCGCTCTCTCAAAATAAGCCTTAAAAAAAAAAAAAAAAAGACATGGGAAAAAATCTAGATCAGCATTTCCCTGAACCCAGCCAATGATCATAATTGCTTATGGAGGTTTTTTTAATATATAGATTTTTAATGTTAATTTAGTTTGAGAGAGCATGCGCATGAGCAGGGGAAGAGCAGAGAGGGAGAGAGAGAATCCCAAAAAGCTCCCCAACCCTCAGCATGGAGCCCCACGTGGGCCTCGAACTCACGATCCATGAAATCATGAACTGAGCTGAAATCAAGAGTTGGATGTTTGACTGAGCCATCCAAGTGTCCCTGGAGATTTTTTTTTTTTTTAATACCACTCCAAAGATAGATTTAGTAGACCTAATTAAATAGATTTGGAAACAACTAACCTGATAGAGCCTTTCCTTCTAATGAAATGCAATGGCAATTCCGTATGCACTGTAATCTCTTTTTATTAAGGTTGTTGGATATACAGTTTCAGATTTGGATGCTTTTGTTTCTTTGGATAAGAAGTGTGCAGTTTGTGATCCAAACCTGCACTGAACATATTTATACTTTACAAACCAAAATATGGGGACAGTGGGACCAAATCATTATCGGCAAGATTCTCCAGGAAATCTCAGTCAGTAGTCCTGGATAAATCTTAGTTGACCCTGTAAGTGCTTTTGGACCAACCTCAAACAAGCTTGTGCAAGCCAGATTACTGTCTCTGAAATCTATCTGGTTGGATTGGTTTTTGTATTCTTTCTTATCTCAGCTTCATTTAGATGTTTCCCGTATTTCTAAAAATGTTTGGAGAAATGCTATATAGTGTTCCTTAATACTTCCACTTAAGATACTATTCAAGAGCAGATGCAGAAAATGCCATGAGGTACATAAATGGAACTCGTCTGGATGACCGGATCATTCGCACAGACTGGGACGCAGGCTTTAAGGAGGGCAGGCAGTATGGCCGTGGGCGATCTGGGGGCCAGGTATGCAGGAAGGTTATCTTGGCTCAGGGTTTGCCTGGGATTTCAGTCCTAGTGACAAGATTTTGTCAGTTTGTGTTTGCTCTTGTAGAAAATAACTCTGTGCCTATAACCCTCGCTTGAAGGGAATCTGAAAACTAACCATTAGGATTGGTAAATTATAGATTGTACACATTTTCACAAGCAACCATTATTGGACTTCTGCCAGGGCCTAGATATTTTGTACCTGCAAGTGTCTAGAACAAAAGGAAAATGCACTGAAATAAGTTCTAAGTTTTTATTTTAAAAAATAGCCTAACTTGAGTAATCTTTGGAGTATGCTACTTTTGAATGCTGGTGAAAGAGTATGAGCATAATGTTTGGTAAAAAACTGTTAGTAGGGGCACTTGGCTGGCTCAGTCAGTAGAGATGTAATTCTTGGTCTTGGTTGTGAGTTCAAGCCCCACGTTGGGTGTAGAACTTACTTTATTTGCTACCCCAGTCTTCTCTATAATGTAACTTGTGTTCTTTTCAATTAAGGTACGAGATGAGTATCGTCAGGACTATGACGCTGGGAGAGGAGGCTATGGAAAACTGGCCCAAAACCAGTGAGTGGTGAGAGCCCCATCGTGAAAACTCAGTCCTTTGGCCTGTTCAATTTGCCATGCATTACCCAAGGTCTACAAACCTGTCCACTTGTACCATGCTTTGATCAAGGTCTCTTCTGAGCTGGAAGCCTTTTCCTGGTTTTCCTTTGAAAACTATTAAAGGACAGAATCCAAAAGAATGCCTTTAAATCTATAGTCTTACAATCTTGGCCATGTGTCAGGTTACCAGGTCAGAATTTGTGTTCCATGGCAACAGATTCGATCTATGATGTTGATCTGTCAGCCCCAAACACCACACTTCTTTTAGGAAGATGGAAAAATTTTTAAATGGATAGTACGATCACAGTCTACACTGGGGCCTGGAATTATTAAAAATTAGGTTTGCAGGAGACAAAATGTAATAAATGGGGCTTTGCTATGTTGTACAGCTTTGTTCTGTTTAGAAGTCTGACAACTACATTTGTTTCTGGGTTGAGTTCTAATCTCTAAAGGCAAATTTAGGAGTCAGGGCAACTTCCTAAATTGTTGGAGCAAAAGTAAGCCTTAGACTGTAAGCCAGGGGATACCACCAGCTTATATGCTATATGTATTAAGACTTGAGTATTTATTATTTTATACATTTTTCAAAAGATGTGTTTTACTTAGAGCTACAGAAGGGTTTATGCATCAGACTGATTTGTTTTCAGAATGATGTTAGGGATGGACTGGGTTTAAAAAGGGCTTGAAGATCAAGAGAACACATAACAAGAACAATCAGAATTGCTTCCCTCAGGAAATGTGTTTTGGCTAATTCTCATACTGAAGTCTGTCTTGTTTTTTCCTTAATTGTGCTTACGGAGTGTCAGAGCCTGGACAGGGAGCTGATGGTTTCTTTAGAGAAGGGAGTCTACAAAATTTATTTTGTATTCATAAGGCGTAAGTTGAGTTCTCTAATGTAACTGTTAGTCTAATATACTTTTCCCTGACATATAAGTGAAATTTTCTCATCTATCAACAAAGTATCTCCTAACTTCTTAGGTTTGTGAGAGTTGGAGATGAAGTACCTTAATAGGAACATCTTTCACATTAAAGTATAGGTTCTCTCATTAAGTTCAAGTTGATTACTTGGATTAAGAGCTATGACTAGCTGTAAGTGCATAATTTGCAGATGTTTAATGAAGACATAACACTCTTCATTTGAAATATTTCTTTTACGCTGTACTTTGAATTAACATTTTATAATGTTGTAGTAAAACGTAACTCAGATTTCCACAGACAGTGGTTCCTTTTTGAATTGTTGAACCAAGTTATCATCTCTGCCCATCACCTATAAAGAGAGACATTGGAACTCTTCCTCTGGAATATTTGAGTAATGTGCAGAATTTACATGTCTAATAGCGAGCTCATGAGTCACATGGGGGTAGCGGCTGTTGTAGTGCATGCAAATATGAACATTGCCATCACTGCAGAAAATTCTGTTGGACACTTGGGTCAGCTGCTTAGAGCTTACACTGGTCACTGTTCATAAATGAGCTTTGTCGTGACAAGAGCGTCACTCTCCCAAACAGTACGTGTTATTCAGTACAAGAGAACACACGTTTATAAAGGCATTTAGTTTATTTTTCAAAAAAATATTTTTGCTAGAAGGTTTGAGTAATTTTACATGATCACAATCTTTAAATAAATTCTTTTTCTGTCCAAAGGTACCATTTAAGTGAACAGCTTATCTAGGCCTGTTTTTGTAACACCCAAATACAATTTGCATTTCTCTGACGGTATATTCCCTAGGTCTTAATTATCTATAGGCCAGGAGGCAGAGCCTCGCACATAATAGAAGTAGGTGCTTTACAACTGTTGATTAGTTTGGTTTCTTAACATAATTAAACAGAGCAGGTAGTCAGTATATTCAATTCACACTATTTATTATTAACATACTTTTTCTCGTGTGAAGGGTCTGATCCACCCAGAGCTCTCCCAGTCAGCCCTTCTCACCCGGGGAAGCAGTGAACACAACTGCAAAGAAAAAGGGCAGCTCTTCCACTAGTCGGGGCTGTTGTTTTGTTCCAACCGTGACTCCAAGATGACAGTGTCACTCAGAAGTAGAAAATATAATGCAAAGCCAGAAAGTGGGGATTATTGGCAGCAACTGCTTCCTTTCCGGAAACTTCCTTAAGAGGTTCCCTTTCTTCTTAAGAGAACTAAAAGTTGAATTAAATCCACATTCATGGCTACAGATTTAACATAAGGACAAATCACTGGAAAGAAACAACAGACTAGTAATTTGCTGATGGACCGGGCAGCTTGAAGGCACATCATAAGCAGCTTTTAGTTTGTACAAGGCCTGCACTCAACCTCAAAAGCATAAGGTCTGCCCACTTTGTGGGCACCCAAACAATTCAGTGCCAAGCTAGTGACAATAAAACAATGCCTGTCTCTTCCACCAGCAGCCCAGACTATATTTAAAAAATGTCTTTGTTGCAAAGAAGCAATTATTGCAAACAGGACAGAGGCCCCTCTGATGTAGGGTTTGGGCTAATAGAGGTTTACACCTAATCACAAGGGGGAAAAGCAACTCTGTATGCTAAAACCGAGTTTCATGAATAGAGGAACGTTTTGAACCATACTTAAAACATCTGACATTTAGGCAAAAGCAAGCTTGACAGTACACCTCAAGGGTGCCCTATGAAGCTGGAAGTGAAAGGGAAGCGGGACTTGGGCAGCTTACTGTAGTTACCTCTTGAGCACCCCTGCTTGCCTCCGCGCCGAGGAGGTGACCGTTTCTCAGACTGGAGGAAAACGGCAACTCCACTTCTGAGCATTAAAGATGCAGAACACAGTTCTGCCTCTTCTACGTGCCTGGTTGTCAGTGAGGAGATGAGATGGAGCTCTAAAGTATAAAACACTGTGAATCCACAGCCTAGTTACTGGCCACTGCATAACTGCCCCCTTCTCCCATTAGGCAAATGTCTTACATGCAGATTTGAAAAAATCTCATGTTTGCATAATTAGCTAATGTCAGAAAACCTCAGGATCTCTTCCTCACTTTAAATTGTCATCTTTGCAAATGCTGACAACACAAGCCTAACTGTAGCAGCATAAAGTGCCTCTGATCTCAGTCCTTTCAGCGACCTGAAGCACAGTAAGAAATACTGACCTGGTTTTACACGAAGTCTAGAGGAGTGTGGAGAATGCTGGGGCTCTTTACAATGTAAACACTGGTGTTGGTGCTTGGAATGTCCGGGGATGGGAACCCTCCGTGTAAACATGTTCTGACTCTACCTTCAACTGCTGGAAACCTTACCTCATGGCCAAGTTTAACTGCACGTTTTAGCTTTTTATTTCCAACACCCCACACCTAACCAGGCATAAATCCAAGTATCTTCTGTCATTTACTTGGTATTTGGTGTAAGCTTCTGAGATGCTTACATACACCTCTACTGTTTTTTCTGCCCCAGTTCAGAAAAGGTAATTGAGTAGTTTAACATGCATCTTTCCTCATTTCCTTTCTTTTCAAATATCACAAAAGGCTAGAATAAAGATGCAAGATCCATTACTTTAATCCTAATGCAGCGAAGTATTAGGACAGGGTCACTTCTGCTTTTCCCCAGAAGACGAGGTTGATAGAAGTGAAAAAAGGACTCCAGCTCTGGAGTCTCAGGGTTGGTCAACAAGAGGCCAACTGAGGGAGCCCCGCATGCTGCTGAGATCACTAAAGAGGTAGGAGCAAAAAAAGTCTAGTAACATCTGCTGTGCTCCTGTGCAAGCAAGTCTTACTACTTTTCCTCTTCTCCCCACCCATCTGCAAAAGACCTGGTCAGTCTTTAGTTCTGAAGATTAATATTTAAACACCATTGAAATAGAAAGGTATTTGTCACATCTTAGACAACACAAGGGTAGTGACAACTTGTAAATTACTCTTGGAAAGGCTGAATTCTCATGTGGTTGACTACTAGTTTGATGGATATTAATGTTTTTTAATAAATCCAGAGAATTCAGTGTTCCAGCAAAAGCCTTTATAAGATTTAGGCATTTGTTGTAATTCTTAAAGCCAAGATTGAAATTTTCTCATGTGTTAAAATAACTGGACGCCCCCACCCCCAAAAGCTGTTGTCTTTAATCAACTCCTCCCAAAGTAGGCACTGCACTTATAAGTGTGCTTGTATAAATAGAACACACCAGTCAGATTTTGGCCACTTCTCACCTTTCAAAAGGAATGCAATTCACTCTGCAAGACTCATTTGGAGAAGGAAGTCCATGAAAGGTGCAGCAGGTAAAACAGGACTGGCTTTGTCAAAACCACCACTCCTAGCTACCCTTTACACCCCAGGGAACAACGATCCTTCTCAAAGTTATGTTGTATCAAAAACATCCTGCACTTTTAGGTTCTGGGATTAAATTTTAAACCTGTATTCAGTTCACGTCTAAGTAAATTTCAAAAGCTGCACCAAATCTACTAGGCTTTTTTTTTTTTTTAATACTCTGCACTGCATGCTCTGTCTATATGCATGCGTTTGGATAATAAATATTAAATATGGGGGAAACACACGGAATCCATAAAATTAAAAATGAAACCAAACTGAACATTAAAAAATAGTACACGGTAGCTAGAGAAATGAATAGGGCAAAAAACAAATTTGAGGTAACAATAGTGGCCCAACACCACTGATCTGAAATACCTGTAAAAATTCAAATAAGTGTTTGGAGATTCAAGTAACAAACCATCTGCTTCAACTTGGTCAGACCTTCCAGAGTCCTGCTGAGTTTCAGTCCATGAGCCGGCACTCACACAGCTCCTTGTAAATCCTCTTCCGCACTCGGGGCATGTCCTCTTGGGAAAACTGGAAAGGCTGCTCTAAGGCGAGGCACTTGCAGTACTGCAAAGGTCCCAGAAACACTTAAATGGCATATGGAGCTTTGATGCAGACCTAACAGAATGGGGCCTAAGGTGACATTTTAAAGTTTAAACTCGTTGTAAAAACATTGTTTTGAAACATTTGCCTCCAAATTATAGTCAACTTTCCAGGTAAGTATATGGTTTGGGGTCTCCCCTCTCTCCCCCAAACAACACTGTGAGAAGCAGAAATTGATGGTGAGGCTCCAACTCTTTCCAAGGTGCTACCTGCTGAGACTGCCACTCCACCTAAAGTGGTCTTTTAAGTGAGAACTTCGGTTTGTTTACAAACCCCAGACATTCATGAGTCAAAGGAATGAGCCCATCTTCCATGATCTTTGCAAATCTCTATAAATTCATGGCTTATACACAATTTCTTCGTAAACGTAATGTATGACAAAATTTGCATTAATCCTTTTAGACCACTAAGGGAACCCACAGCATGAGAAAGCAGTTTTTGAATGTGGCCCTTATTTAAAATGTAATTAATTTTGTTCTGTGGTTAAAGACCACTTGCCAAAGGTTAAAAAAAAAAAAAAAAGTAGTTAATTCTACAAATGCCAAGGGTCTACGATACAGATTCAGACCAGTCTCTAGTGTGCCTAACCTCTGATAAGACATGTAAACCAGAGGAGGAGATACTCGGGTACCTGTGCCTAATGCCAGGTACATAACAACAGGGGCTCCCATCTCTCCTTTCTAAACCCAACAAATTTAATTCACACATTCCAAATTCTGGATAAACAGATTTCTTTACCTGGAGCACAAAGACTCCACAGTCACTGTCATTTTTCTGTTGTGGAATACACTAAAGAGAAAAACAAAATGATCATTAAAATAAGACCAAGTACTCCTCTTCAGATAGGAAAATTTGTTTTTATGGAAAAATAAGTAAAAGAAACTTGTCTGTCCAGGACAGCTGGTGTCCTAGTATATATCTCTGGTATTTAAAGTGTGTGATTTTACAGAGGCATCAAAAGAGCCAGCAACCAAATGTATAGAACCTTCGCCTAAATATGAGAAATAGAAAATCAAAACCCTGTTTTAAAACTTGATTTGGATAGTTTTGCTATCAGATTACTGACAATGGAATCAAAATGGAATTGTGGATCAGAAAGCATACGCCTGGACTCTGAGTATGTACTAAAAATCCTGCTTAGTAGTCTTCACGTTTCATCTGTCACTCTTTGAAAGAAATAAAGATAAGCAGTATGTTGGGGTGCCTGGGTGGGTCAGTTGGCTAAGTAATTATGGCTCAGATCATGATCTCACGGTTTGTGAGTTCAAGTCTCACATCAGGCTCTCTGCTGTCAGCGCAGAGCCCGCTTCGTATCCTCTGTCCCCCCTTCTCTGCTCCTCTCCTTCTTGCATGCTCTCTTAAAAACAAACATTTAAATTATTTAAAAAATAAAAAAGAGCAGTATGTTTCCCAAAGAACTGATTATGTATTCTGCCTAAAGGGGAAATGTGAAGGATGTTGACTAAATTTGGAATACCTAGGTATTCTAGTTGGGTAATTTTCAAAATTTACAAGTTCAATTCCGGTTTCAACTAAAAGACTAAGTTATTAAAAGAAAACTTAAGCCTAGGTTTAAACCTTAGCATTTGGTGTAGTTCAAGGATGAACAAATAAATCTGGTTCCCTTGGGTTTGGCTTAAAGTTTGTTTCAAGACTCTGCCTTTTTTTTTTTTTAATAGGTTTGTTTTGAGAGAGACAGACACAGTGCAAGTGGGGGAAGGGCAGAGAGAGGGAGAAAGAACATCTCAAGCAGGCTTCCAGCTGCCAGCTCAGAGCTCAACATGGGGCCTGAACTCACGAAACTGAGATCATGACCTAAGCTTCAACCAAGAGTCGGACGCTTAACCGACTGAGCCACCCAGGCACCCCAAGACTCTGCCTCTTTAAGATTGTGCTCAGTGATCTAGACCTAAGTTCAAGGACCCAACTCTATCAGTAGTTCCGATGGCCTAGGTGACACCTAGGCTTCAGTTTGCTCATCTATAAAATAAAGAGGATGCCCATCCCTAAATGACCTGCCTACCTCATAGGCTGTAAGGATCAAATGAGATCACACATGCAAAAACACTCTGAAGACAATAAAGCAGTGACCATAAAATGTAAGATGCTGGTATCTGTGACAGTGATGAGAAGACCTGCCTGAGCACTCTGCCCCATACACAGCATGAGTGCATATAGGACAAACATAGTGCTGCTTTCGTACTGAAACCTTCAAGCCACTGTCTTCCCCAGATGCCTGGTAAGAAGCCCAGTGCACTTGCTCCCTTAGTGGATCCAAACAGTCGCTTCAGCATTTCTCTGGGTCTATGTGGGTCATCTGGAAGAGGCAGGTGCCATCAAAAGAAAAAGTTGTTTTCCTTTCCCTTTTTTCCAATATAACAACCATATCATTAGCAGCTGCCCCATTGATGAAATGACTAAATTTTTCTCCAGAAGCACTGGGAAACTAAGTAGCTAGATGATCAATACTACATAGGTTTATTCTAAGCTGCCTCCCTGCAGCCTCCAGACTCTTACTGGTATCTCCATCACCAGTCTTCAAATGCTTTTAAAGACACCCACCCCTAAGGATAATTCCATCCCCTTGACATGCCTGGGTTTTCATTTTTATCACATACTTACCTTTGTAACAGCAGTCTGCCAACCCTGAAGAAATTCAGGTCTATTTTTTTCTCTGGCTTCAGTCAGCAAATACTTTCTTATATTCTGGTTAAAAAGAAACCACAACACAGATGCTGTGTTCCATCAGTTGGTGAAAAATGGAACCTGCTCACAGCAGATAGAAGCAAAGGAGGAGGCGGCTGTGGCCCCACCACTGGGCAAAGTCTGCACTCAAGAGTTTAAAAGGTGGAACTTTATTTCTGACCTTTCATTTCATAGTGTTAAGAAGGACTCAGGCCTTCTATACTCAGGTATGCATTTAGGCTGTGGATACCACTGTATGTTTTAATTAGAAGTTTTTGTAAGATGGTCAGCCTTTTCCAGCAGCCAACTTGCTCAATTTGACATTTAAATATTGGGAAGACAAAAAAAAAAAGACCTGATTACTGCCAATGTTCAATACAAAGAAGGAACCCATGGCAGAAATCAATAATTGAAACTAAATGAAAAACATTCCAGCCTTAGATATACTCTATTTTGAGGGCTGCAGATAAAGGTATCTTGCAGTTTCTAGAAAGTTCTACTGAAACCCATTCTGGATACTAAATACAGTCGAGTCCACTGCTGAAGCTTCTACCAAGATGAAGCCTATCAGAGTTTCAAATATTCCCTTATGCCCTCTACTTCTGTGCATCACTTCTAAAGGTGAAGTCAGAGGTAACAGGAATTAAACCAACCACACCGAAGGTGGAATATTAGTATGTATGTACATGTATACAACTGTGTTTATGCACATACTACCACACACACATATATACATACATACGTGCACATATGTATTTTCTTCCCATAAACATATACTCTATCACTCTGCAACTGGCTATTTAAAACCCAATAGGTCTTGGAGATCTTTCCATGCTATTTAGAACATGGAGATCTATATTCTATGATCTATGATCTAGATCTATGATCTATGGCCAGTTTAATAGTATGAATGTACTATAGTGTACTTAACTATTCTGTTGGTAGAGCTAAATTTAGGTGGGTTTTTTTGGTTTTTGTTTTTTGTTTTGTTTCTACTATCAGTAATGCTGCTGCAGTCAACATTCTGGTGCATGCCCTATCACTGTGCACATACATACACAAGCATTTTTATATACCAAGAAATAGAACTGGTATTCAATAGGATATATATTTTCTTTCTTTTAAGTAGGCTTCACGCCCAACATGGGGCTTGAACTGACACAACCCTGAGATAAAGAGTGTACTCCAAGGACTGAGCCAGCCAGGAATCCCTAGGATACACATACATCTTTTATAAATTTATAAGGCACTTAGAACTGATCAGGATTTCAACTCCCCTAAGTGGCTAGCTATATTAATTCATATACTCCACCAGAAAAAATGAAAGCTGGTTTCCTTACACCTAACGAACACCTGAATACCATCAAACTTGCCTAATGGGCAAAAAATGAAGCCCTGATGTAGTTTTCATTTGCATTTCCTGTATTTCTGATAAGACTAAGCATCTCTCCACGTTTCAAGGCTATTTGCATTTTTCCTAAAAATTACTTATTTGAATAATCTTTATCCATTTCTCTTAAATCCTTTTATTAATTTTTAGGAGTTCTTTATATTTTCTGGGTAGTGATTATTATATGTCACAAATATTTTCTCCAGGTCTTTCCTTTCTCTTTGAATTTTAGGACATGCAGAAGTTTTAAATTATGGTATGGTCCAGTTTATCAATCTGTTCCTTTAGGTGTTTTGCTTTTATGGCTCTGTGTAAGAAGTCTTTCCTGAATCTAAAACATAGCATTTTCTGTATTTTATTCTAACTTTTATAGTTTTGCATTTTATATTTAGGTCATTATTTTACATGGAATTTGCTCTTATAAATAGTATGAAGGATCTGTATGTGGATCCAAATAGACAGCTACTTTTCACAATGGCATATATTGAATAGCCTGTCTTTCCCCAACTTTATCATATACCAGGTTCCCTCATATACAGCAGTTATTCCTAGATTCTCTGTGCTGTACCACCAATCTACTGGTCTATTCCTAAGTTTTAATTATTAAAAATTTGTGATATGGTTTGGCCTCTAGTATTCCTTCCTTCAATGTTCATGCAATAAACTCTGCACTATGAATTCTAGGATGAGCTTATCAGTTTTCATTCAAAATCCTCTTGAGAAATTGGGGGCAAATTGGTATATATTATTAGTTTGAGAAGAATTGATCTCTTTCCAATACTGAGCCTACCTATCTTTCCATCTGCTCAGATTTCCTTTAAATATAGAGCTCTACTCTTAAAGAACTTCCACAATTTTTGCTGGAGTATATACTCCTGGTCAGTTTATATCTGTTTGCTTTTGAAAATGGAATCTTTCTTTTTTCAGTTAAATTTAACTGGTCCTTGCTACTGAAAGAAAATCAGGAAACCTATGGATTTTTCTTGCATCTCACCATGTTGTTGAACTGTCATTAGTGGAGCTCTCCTATTTTGCTGGCTGATTCTCTTGATTATAACACATTCTACATAAGTTATTTTGAAGATACAAGCCAATTTTAGCCCTAAGAGAAACCAAGGAAAATGATTTGTATCCATTCAAAATGCAGCTTTATAGGGAGGCAGGAAAATATGTGACAAAATCCAAATTAGACTTGTTTCTCAGAGTGGGATCCATATCACAGACAGCTACCTCTCCCAACCTGGGGATTCCTCTTGTAGTTCTTTTTCTCTGCTAACATTTTAGAGGGTTTTCATGACAGAAATTGATCCCCTATGATAACTGACTTCTGTTCTATTTGATCACAAGATAAATGAAAAAATATAGGCAGTATATTAACTTACCTCTACACAAAACTTAAAATGAATGCCTTGGGAATCATAAAATGAAATAATTCGATTAGAGAGTGTCACGGTAATGAGAGACCAGTGGACTTCCAGGTGAATAGGAATCAACAGAAGACTCTTTTTAAACAAATCCACCTGATTAAAAAAGAAAAAGAAATGCGGCCATCACCACAGAGTATCCAAAACAACAGCAGAAACAGCTTCAATTTACTGACCTTTGACCTGTTTGAGGTCATAAAAGCAGGAAGTGGTGAAGCCAAAATCTGAACCCAGGTCTGAATCTAAAGCCCATGCTTGTAACTACTAAGCTATTAATACACAATAAGAAAACTGAAGATCCAGAAAGCACCATCTCACATTCAAACCTGCTACACCTGTGCTTTGCAAATGCTTAATTTGACTTAGCCTTTATTTTTATGCTTTTGTGTACATATTTGACCTTGACTCAATTCTTATGTAGGAAGGAATCATATTATAAAACAGCATAGGCACCATAAGCCTTCTTTTTATAAACTCAGTGTCCTAGTTAAGATCATGGGCTCTGAAGGAAGTCTGGTGAAGTTCAAAGAGAACCTCTTCCACTTACTGGCCAGGTGACTTTGGTCATTTTCATAGCTTCTTTGTGACTTGATTTCCTCAACTATAAACTATAGACAACAGCCCCTACCTTAGGAAATTATTGAGAGAGATAATACATATAAGATGCAGAAAACTGCTTTCACATATTCTATGTAGCCAGTGAATCTTAACTATTACCATTATCACTACCTCAGGTTTCCCAGATGGTAAAATTGAGAAAAATATCCTTGATAATTCTTTACACATCCTTTACAATCTAGAAATATTTACTATTCCACTCAAAATCCCAGTTGTGGAATGAATGATAAAGTAGTAGGTGCTCAATAAACATCTGTAAAAGTTGTGAATGAATTTTTTTTCAGGTTTTTTTTTTTTTTTGAGAGTTTTTAGGGATTCCTTGGGTTAAAACAGTCACAAGGCTACTTTAAAGTACATCAGATTCTTAGAAGCTATTTCTCAAGCCTTCCTTGCTTTCTGATATTCAGATAATGTCCTGCTCTAAATGAATCTTCTACTAGTCGACATGATCTTGGAGCAAAGCACTTTAGCACCTCTACTTTTCCATTTTCTACATCCATAAACCTGGCAGGTGAGGTGGACAGAAGAAAACATGAAGACAGTTGGTCCTTTCCAATGCACAAATCCTGAGTATCTAAAACAAGGAATCACATCTAAACACAGTATTAAATGAGGCCAAATTTACATTCTTCTTAAAAAGAAACTCTTTCTGGGGTGCCTGGGTGGCTCAGTTAAGTGTCTGACTTCGCATGATCTAATGGTTCAGGAGTTTGAGCCCTTCATTGGGCTCTGTGCTGACAGCTCAGAGCCTGGAGCCTGCTTCAGATTCTGTGTTTCCTTCTCTCTCTGCCCCTACCCCGCTCATGCTCTGTCTCTTGAAAAAATAAACATTTTTAAAAAAGCTTTCTCCTAATTATAAAAACAATTTTGTCTTTTTAGTTTATTTTAGAGAAAGTGTGTGAGCAGGGGAGCGGGCAGAGGGAGAAAGAGAATTTTCTTGTTAGTAAAGATTTTTTTATTTTATTTATTTTTAAAAATTTACGTCCAAATTAGTTAGCATATAGTGAAACAATGATTTCAGGAGTAGATTCCTTAATGCCCCTTACCCATTTAGCCCATCCCCCTCCCACAACCCCTCCAGTAACCCTCAGTGTGTTCTCCATGTTTATGAGTCTCTTGTCCCCCTCCCTGTTTTTATATTATTTTTGTTTCCCTTCCCTTATGTTCATCTGTTTTGTCTCTTAAAGTCCTCATACGAGTGAAGTCCTATGATTTTTATCTTTCTCTAATTTCACTTAGCATAATACCCTCCAGTTCTATCCACATAGTTGCAAATGGCAAGATTTCATTCTTTTTGATTGCCAAGTAATACTCCATTATGTATATAAACCACATTTTCTTTATCCATTCACCCATTGATGCACATTTGGGCTCTTTCCATACTTTGGCTATTGTTGATAGTGCTGCTATAAACATGGAGGGGGTGGGGGGAGAAAGAGAATCTTAAGCATTCTCTGTGCTCAGTGTGGAGCCCAACACGGCTCAATTCCACATCCCTGGGATCACAACACAAGCCAAAGTCAAGAGTTGGACACTCAACCGACTGAGCTACCTGGGTGCCCCTATGAAAACAATTTTTAAATAAAAATTAGAAAATACAGATAAGAAGTACACTTCAGTGTATATCTTTCCAGATTTTTCTTCTTTTTAATACATTATCTCTCTCATACATAACTTTATATATATAATTAAGAATGGTATGTGTGGTAGACTGTATTATTTTTTTTTTAATTTTTTTTTTTCAACGTTTATTTATTTTCGGGACAGAGAGAGACAGAGCATGAACGGGGGAGGGGCAGAGAGAGAGGGAGACACAGAATTGGAAACAGGCTCCAGGCTCTGAGCCATCAGCCCAGAGCCTGACGCGGGGCTCAAACTCACGGACTATGAGATCGTGACCTGGCTGAAGTCGGACGCTTAACCGACTGCGCCACCCAGGCGCCCCAAGACTGTATTATTATTGACCCAATTATTTGTTGCCCTTCCTATAAAAAGGGTTATATAGAACTGCCTGATGTCATGTGGCTTCACTGTCCCTCCCAGGTGAAGAAAGTAGTCCTGTCATGTGATTTGCTTTAAGTAGTGCTCTGTAAATAGAAGTGAATTTATGTCATGACCAAGCTGAAGCTTCAAGAGCCATCGTGTGGCCCTGAGACTGTTATGTCTCCAGATTAGGTGCTGTTCCTCCCATCTGGGAGCCCATTTAAGGACTAAAGATGAGAAACTATAGGATCATGTCCTTAGACGCAGGAAAAGTATTTGATAAAACTCAACATCCATTTATGGTTAAAAACTGTCACATAGACTAGGAATAGGACCAAAACTTCTTTAACCTGATGAAAGAGTATCTACAAAAAACCCTACAACTGTCAACACAAACAGTAGTGAAAGACTGCTTTTCTCCTAAGACTGAGAACGAGGCAAAGATGTCCCCTCTCATAGAAGTCCCAGCCAGTGCAATAAGACAAGAAAAAAAATGGCATACAAATTGGAAGGGAAAATTAAAACACTCACTACTTAGAGACATGATTGTCTATGAAAATCTCACAATCTACAAAAATTTCCTACAACCAATGCGTCTGGCAAGGTCACAGGATACAAGGTCAATTCACAGAAATAAGTTGTATTTCTATTACTAACAGGAAACAATTGGAAGACAGCATTTAAAAAATTCTGTTTATAGCAGTTTCGGAAAAATGAAATAGGGCTATGTTTTGTTTTATAATTTTTTTTTAATGTTTATTTTTGAGAGAGACAGGAGGACGTGAGTGGGGGAGGGGCAGAAAGCGAGGGAGACACACAATCAGAAGCAGGCTCCAGGCTCTGAGCTGTTAGCACAGAGCCTGACATGGGGCTCGAACTCACAAGCTGTGAGATCATGACCTGACCTGAAGTCTGACACTCAACCAACTGAGCCAACCAGGCGCTTCATGTTTTGTTTTGTTTTTGAGATAAAGAGGGTGCAAGTGATCTAGGGGGAGGGGGAGAGAGAAAGAAAGAAGCGGGGCTCGAGCTCACCCAATGTGGGACTTAAACTCATGAACCATGAGACTGTGACTGTGCCGAAGTCAGATGCTTAACAACAGCCACCCAGGCGCCCAGGGTTACATTTTTTTTAAAATATGTGCAAGACCTCTACACTAAGAATTAGAAAATATTGCTGAGAAAAATTAAAGACCCCAAATAAAGGGAACATGTACCATGTACATGGAAATGGAAGATTTAATATTGTTAAGATGTTTATTCTCCCCAAACTAAATAATCCCGCAAGTTAAAAAAAAAAAAAACTGACAAGCTGATTCTAAAATTTGTATGAAAATGAAAATGCAAACGACCTGGAATTCCCAAAACATTCTGGAAAAAGGATAAAGCTGGCCAACTTACACTATATATCAAGATATACTCTAAAGATACAGTGATCAAGACAGTGTGGTATTGGCATAATAACAGAGATCAATGGATAAGAACACAAAGTGCAGAAACCGACCCATACATATGTGGTCAGCTGATTTTCTACAATGGTACCAAAGCAATTAAACTAGGAAAGAGAAGTCTTTTCAAGCAAATGACATTGGAAGAACTGGATATCCATATGGAGAAATCATCAAAATTAAAAATCTTTACCAAAACACATGGTTAAGAAAATAAGTAAAAAAGCTATAGACAGAAAACAATCACAAAACATAGACCTGACAAAGAATTTATTTCCAGAACACCTTTCTTTACTACAAACCTTTTCATTCATATCACCCACCCATTTTTCTGCTGAGTTGGTAGTCTTTTTCTTATTATTTGTATAAACCCTTTATATATTAAGAAAATCAGTTCTGTGACATTAATGGCAAATATTTTCCCTAGTTTACTATTTGTCTTTTTACATCGCTATTTTAAATGCAGAGTTATTTTTATGTAACTGAATTCACTTTTCTTTTATAAACTTTTAAGTTATGCACAGAATGGACTCAGTTACCCTATGGACCAGTTCTTTCATGGAGTTTTCTTAGTATTTCCATTGTTTTATTTATTTTTGTTGCATTCAAATCCTTGGTCATTCTGTAATCTATCTTGATGTAATCTAATTTAGTGAACACTAAATTCTGTTTTTAATTTTTTCTTTAATGATCAAGGCATTTAATGGCCATTAGCTTTCTTCTTCTTCTTCTTTTTTTTTTTTTTTTTTGAGTTTATTTATTTATTTTGAGAGAGAGGCAGAGAGAGAATCCCAAGCAGGCTTCGCACCATCAGCATGGAACCCGATGCAGGCTTGAGTCCATGGAACCCCGAGATCATGACCTGAACGAAAATCAAGAGTCGGACACTCAACCGACTGAGCCACCCAGGCACCTCCTATATATTGAAATTGTATCACACAGTTTACTTTCTACCTTAAATTCTACCTCATCTGCTCCTGATACTGCCATTCCTTCTTTTTATTTACCACTCCTTTCTTTTGGTTTACATTTGCCTAGACCCTTTTTAACTGTCACTTTATTTTCAACCTTTCTTGTTCATTTTCTTTTGTTTCTTATATATAGCATATACAGGCATACCTCGGAAAAATTGTGGGTTCAGTACCAGACCACTGCAATAAAACGAGTCAAAGGAGTTTTTTTTGGTTTCCCAGTGCATATAAAAGTTGTTTACACAAACTGTAGCCTATTAAGTGTGCAGCATTATGTCTACAAAAAATATACATACCTTAAATAAAAAATAATTTTTGTTATTAAAAGTGCTAACCACCAACAATGCTGACTCACTTTTAGTGAGCTGTAATCTTTTTGGTGGTGGAGGGTCTTGCCTAAATGTTGATGGCTCCTGACTGATCAGGATGGTAGTGTACTGAAGGTTGGGTGGCTGTGGTAATTTCTTAAATTGGATAACACGAAGTTTACAGTACTGATAGAATCTTCCTTTCACGAACAATTCCTCTGTAGCATGTGATGCTGTTTGACAGCATTTTACCTACAGAACTTCTTTCACAATTGGTGTACATTTTCTCAAACCCTGTTGCTGCTTTATCAACTAAATGTATATAATATTCTAAATCCTCTGTTGCCATAACAATTCTCACAGCATCTTTACTAAGAGCAGATTCCATCTCAAGAAACCACTTTCTTTGCTCATCTGTAAGAAGCAACTCCTTATCTATTCAAGTTTTATCAAGAGGTTGCAGCAATTCAGTCCCATCTTCAGGCTCCACTTCTAGTTCTCTTGCTATTTCCCCCACATCTGCATTTACTTCTTCCACTAAAGTCTTGAACCCTCAAAGTCATCCATGATAGTTGGAATCCACTTCATCTAAACTCCTGTTAATTTTGATATTTTGACCTCTTCCCATGAATCATAAATGTTCTTAATGGGGCACCTAGAATGGTGAATCCTTTCCAGAAGATTTTCAATTTACTTTGCCCATATACATCAGAGGAATCACACACCATCTATGGCAGCTATAGCCTTATGAAAAGTATTTCTTAAATAATCTGACTTGAAAGTTGAAATTACTCCTTGGTCTATGGGCTGCAGAACAGAGGTTATGCAGGCATAAAAATATTAATCTCGTTGGACATCTCCATCAGGGCTCTTAGGGTAACCAGGTGCATTGTCAATGACAGGTCTTATTTTGAAAGGAATCTTTCTGAGTAGTAGGTCTCAACAGTGGGCTTAAAATAATCAGTAAATTATGTTGTGAACAGATGTGCTGTCGTCCAGGCTTTGTGGTTCCATTTACAGAGCCCAGGCAGAGTAGGTTTAACATAATTCTTAAGGGCCTTAGGATTTTCAGAATGGTAAATGAGCACTGGCTTCAACTTCAAGTCACCAGCCACATAAGCCCCTACCTAACCAGAGAGTCAGCCTGTCCTTTGAAGCCAAGTATTGACTTTTTCTTCTCTAGCTATTAAGGTCCTAGATGGCATCTTCTGCCAATAGAAGTCTGTTTCATCTACACTGAAAATCTGTTGCTTAGTGTCATCACCTTTATGAATTATCTGAGCCAGATCTTCCAAATAACTTGCTGCAGCTTCTACACCAGCACCTGCTGCTGCTTCACCTTGAACTTTTATGCTATGGAGACGGCTTCTTCCTTTAAACCTCATGAGCCAACCTCCGTTAGCTTCAAATTTTTCTTCTTTCAGTTTCCTCATCTCTCTCAGCATTCACAGAACTGAAGACAGTCAGGGTCTTGCACTAGATTAGGCTTTGGCATAAGGGACTGTTTTGTCTGGTTTGATCTTCTATACAGACTACTAAAACCTTTGCCATATCAGCAATAAGGCTGTTTTCACTTTGTCATTCATGTGTTCATTGGAGTAGCCTTCAAGAACTTTTCTTCTGTGTTCACAACTTGTCTGGCACAGGAGGCCTAGCTTCCAGCCAATCTCAGCTTTCAGTATGCCTTCCTCACTAAACTTGATAATTTCTAGCTTTTGATTTAAAGTGAGAGGCATAGGACTCTTCCTTTCACTTGAACACACTGTGGTGTTACTGGCCTAATTTCAGTATTGCTGTGTATCTAGGGAATAGAGAGGCCCAAAGGGAGAGAGACGGGAACAGGTGGTGGGGGGAGCAGTCAGAACATACATAACATTAAGTTTGCCATCTTCTATGGGTACAGTTCATGGCACCCCAGAACAATGGCTATACTAACATCAAGGATCACTGATCACTATAAAAAATATAATAATAATAAAGTTTGAAATAACTACAAGAATTACCAAAATGTGACACAAAGACACAACGTGAGCAAATGCTGTTGGAAACACGGCGCCAATAGACTTACTTGATGCAGGATTGCCACAAATCAATTTGTAAAAAGCGCAGTATCTGTGAAGCACAATAAAGTGAAGCACAATAAAAGAAGGTATGCCTGTATGTGGCTTGTACCACTGGATAGGCTGTACTGGTGTTTATCCAAGAAAAATTAAGGATAACTATTAGGGGACTGGTCAATTTAAAAAATATACCCATATAGTGGGATGCTACTTAACCAAGAAGAGTTATGTAGATGAGAAAAAGATAATCATATACTGTACTTGGAAGTCATCTTTCACATTTCCTTCTCCTTCATGCCCATAACCAATCTGTCACCCAAGTCCTGTTGATTTTACTTCCTAGATCATATTCATATTTATGTACATATCCCATCTATCCTGCTACCATTCTAATCCAAAGTACCACTAATGGTACTTTGCAGTGGCCTCCTGTTCTACCCACATCAGCTTTGCTCCCACATTCATCCCTCTTCTTCAGTGCTGCTAGAGCAAAGACTACAAATTGGATGATGTCACCAAAAACCCTTCAATAGATTCCTATACATTTAGAGGAAAATTCAAAATCTAAACCTTAATGCCCTACATCACTAGATCAGGTCCACTTCATGCCACTCTCTTCTTTGCTCTCTGTACTCCAGCTACACTAGCTGCTGCCCATGTTTCTACCATCATAATATAATGATTCTTACTGTTGTGCTTAGTGATTTACACAAATTATCTCATTTAATCCTCTCAGCAAGGTAAATACTTGTGATACTACCATTTGACAAATGAGGAAACTGAAGCTTAAAGGAATTAAGTCATCTGCCCAAGGTCTTACAACTTGTTAAGTGGCTACAGCAGGATCTGAACCCAGGTCTGAGTCCTGAGTTCATTCTATCTATTCCCCTGGATTTGTACCCTTCAGCCATGTTTATCTTGGCATTACTGATAATGCTTTGCACCTATTACCTAAATAGTCATGTTCAGTCAGGTGTTTTACTTTGCAAAAAATTATTTCCATCCACAACTACTCAAGACAAGACTTACTCTTAATTTTCTATAACCTATCCAGTATAAAAAGACAAAATGCTACAGTATCTCTAAACCTGTAACTGTGGAATCTAAACTCGGTAATTATGTCAAAATATCAAAAACAGAATATAAATGGGCTTTTAAAATAATGTTTCTGGCCCTAGTAAATGACTCCAGAGAGAAATTAAGGTTGCAAGGAGCTTTAAGGGTTATGCTGATTTTATCATTTTGTTTTATGAAGCCCAAATGAAGCATTCTGAAGCCCAAATAAAGTGTCTCGTCCAAGTTGCACAGCAAGCTAATGACAATGCTGGAACCATTAACTTCCAGCCCAGTGCTTTCATTTAGAGCATAATCCAATAAACTGGACAGACTTGGAGTTTTATGTGTTTCAAACAGGATGTAAAAAACAATAAGAAATAATTATATTAAAAGAGTGGTTTTTTTAAGCATCTATTTCTAATCAGTATCATATGGACATTAAAGTTGTTATCCTTCCACTCAAAGTGGCTTATTTGCATTTCACATTTAGAATAAAAAAGAAATAAAGAGAATACCTTTTTAGTCCATCTTTTTACTCCATTATATCCTTTGGTTACCAGCTGTCTATGAAAAAAGCTGTTGAAGAAGTGAACCTAGAAGAGACATCAAATATAAGCACCCAGATTATATTAAGCTGTATACCCAGATTTAACTTCAAAAGAACATGGAAATTTAAAAACCCTTGTATGTAAGACAGACCAAAAGGAGGAAAAGTTTCTTCTATAGAAAATACATTACCTGATTCACAGAAGATTCTGTTCCAAATTTTCTTAGAATAACCTTACACTGTGGTCTATAGTCAGAACTGGAATGGGACAGTAAATAAATAGATTACCTGAATCCAATCAAGTAGAGAAGCAACCTGACAAATCTCTCCAAATCAGGTGATAAAACTGAAAGAGGCTAAGAAAGAATGAGGTAACATTACCTTGAACTCAAGGGATATGGATTACAAAACTAACCCCATCTGAAGGATATGGACTTGCAGACTCCTGCTTTCATAACTGTTAAAAAGCCTTAACATGATCATTTCTAGCACAGAAATAACTAACCTGGTCATATGGAACATCGTGTCCTGACATCAAATTTCTGGCTTATAAATTAGGATCGGCTCATGTGAACTAGTAAACATATTGTGGTCTTAACGTGTTCACTCAGTAATGGATTCGCTTGAGATGAAAAAAATGTTCCCTCAGTATTGAGGTTCTCAGGATGTGGTCACCAGATCAGCAGTATCAGCATCCCCAGGAACTTCTTAAAATGCAAATTTTCAGGCCCTACCCCACACCATTTACTAATGCAGAAACTGAGCGTGGAGCTCAACAGTTTGGTTTGATAAACCTTCCAAAAAATCCTAATGCACACTGTTCTGAGATCTCTGCAGCTTAAGATATCAATAAAAAGAACTTGTAATAGCTATTTCTAAGAAAAGTGATTCTCAAACTCTGTGTGCATTAGAATCCAGACAGCTTGTGAAAGCAGATTGCTGGGCCCCACCTCCAGTTTCTGATTCAGTAGGGTAGGTTAGAGTTCAAACTTTTACATCTCTGGTAAATTCCTAGGTAATGTCGGTGCTACTGGTCTGGGGACTGTAAGTGTCCTTTTAATCCAATGAAGGTTCAGAATTAAATATAATGTAGAAATAATGAAGGTAAATTATACCCTTAAAACTAACACCTTTATGATAAAGGTCATCTATAATATGTGTTTAGGTTTAAACTTTCTGGTGATTAAGAGAATTTCACATAATAGAGAATCCAACAGATTAACCTCATGATTCCAATTTAAAATGCAACAGAATTGCGATTTTAAGTGGAAAGTTGTAAAACATTTTGTCTATATTCATAAAGTGTTGGAATCTCCGACTCATTATATTTATTTACCTGTTTAAATTATTAGATTTATAAAAGTATTTGGAAAGATTTTAGATATTGAAATCAAAAGTTACCCATCAGGCAATCTAAATACTCAGAAAAATTAACACATTAAATTAAAAAAATAATTTTAATAGTAACAAAACTCTATGGGAATTTTAGAGTTTAAGGAGGGTTTGTCTGTATTTGAACAGAATACCCAAGATTAATCCAAGAAAAAGTGACAATGAATACCACTTTATTACATCTTTAAAAAGAATAAGACTTTAAGTTAAATTGAAAAACTTAAAGCAAAAATACACTCTTTGTGCATCTCGTCACTGTTAAAAAAGAGACAAGAGACTCAAAATAGAGTCTAACTTAGTGCTGACTTGTGCTTAGCCCATGTCACCAAACCAAAAATACCTAACCTAATTGCAACTTCAGCCTCTCCCAGGACTGTAATCTTAACAGAATTACCTGCTCAGCACTACTTAGGTAACCTGCCTGTTAGACCTGGTCTTCCCCTCAAGTAAGGTAACTTTGCTGCAATCAATCTACTCTTGCTAATAACCCCCTTGTCCTGCCCCCTTCTGCCTTATAAGTCTTCCACTTTGTACAGCTCTTCAAAGCTCCTTTTTACTTATTAGATGGGATGCTGCCTGATTCATGAATCATTTGAATAAAGCCAATAAGATCTTAAAATATACTCAGTTGTTTTTTATTTTTGAGAGCAAGCACGAATGGGGGGAGGGGCAGAGAGAAAGGGGCCAGAGGATCTGAAGTGGGCTTTGCAAAGACAGCAGTGAGCCCGATGCAGGACTAAAACTCACCAACCGGGAGATTATGATCTGAGCCAGAGTTGGATGCTCAACTGACTGAACCACCCAGGCGCCCCAACTTTTTTCACACCTTAAAAAAGCCTCCTTGGGGTGCCTGTCTGGTTCAGTTGGTAGAGTGTGTGACTCTTGATCTTGGATTGTGAATTCAAGCCACTCATACAGAGATTACTTAAATCTTAAATTAAATCTTAAAAAAAAAAAAAAAAGGTGGGGCACGCCTGGATGGCTCAGTCCAGTTGAGTGTCTGACTTCCGCTCAGGTCATGATCTTGCAGTTCGTGGGTTCAAGCCCAACGACAGGCTCTGTGCTAACAGCTCAGAGCCTGAAGCCCACTTCAGATTCTGTGTTTCCTCTTTCTGTCCCTCTCCCACTCATGCTCGCTCGCTCTCAAAAGTAAATAAACATGTAGGAAAACACTGGCAATCTGACTTTCTTATGCTCAAATATTGTCTAGAACCTATGCCCAACCTGTTAGCGCCTGATCAAGATAAAATCAAAACCTTTAAAAATCGAAGGAATATTAAAAAAAAAAAAATCGAAGGAATATCAAATAATTACATCAAGTTAAAAAGAAACCTCATTTTAATACACAAGAATTCTCTCTCCTGAAGAGTAACTTTCACTTACTTTGTCTGGGACTGCATCCATTATCAGCTCACCATACATATTAATGACCTATAAAAAGTCAACATAAAACCAGCTTACTAACCCTATACAATTCAGAACATCCCATCAGAACGAATAACACTGACACCGTTAACAGTAATCAAACCTTTTGGATGCTGGGGTTGGTGAATGAGTAGCTTTAGTAAGGGTAAAGAATCCTTGATTCAAAACATAACTATGAGACCAACCCAAAGGTTAATTCTATTTTATTATCCAACATCCTCTGCAACTTTTCCACACTGAGAACCTACAATACACTAACCTGGTCATTCAGCCAATTCTGACCATCCAGAGTTGCCAGATCATCCATATCCAGCATGTGCTTATTGTAGAAGATGCGGAAGTTGCATTTTTGATGCCTGGCCCGATAGTTTGTTATTTCTCTATTGATAAATGGTTTTCTGAAAAAGATTTTGAAAGAAACACGAGTTCCACTAAATTTACTAAGTATCTTCTTTTTTAAAAGTCACATGTGCCAACAATTTTATTTTCAAGGGCTTAAATTAAGCATTATGGACAAACCTATTAGAAAAGTCTTCATTAAAGACATCTTTTAGTCTTCCAAGGACATCTTTTTCACTGAGTGGGACCAAACTGCCATACTTCTTCATAACCTCATCTAGGAATCCTTAAATAAAGGAAGAGAAGTTACAATGGAAAAACCATTTTCAGCAAAAGTCATTCTCCCAATATTTAACCTATACACAACACTTACCACACATTTAACCTATACATTACGCTATACAGAAATCTTTTAATTAAAAGTTATGTTTTATAAGAAATAAAATAGATCAGGCCCTCACCATTCCAATCCAGAGAGAAATGCCTTAAGGTATCATTTCACATTGGATTTTTAAAGCTACTGATGCACTGTTAGAAAATGGCTAGCTAAAACTGAAGATTGACATCACTCAGTAGTTTAACCTTGAAGAAGAATCTTCCCTTCTAAAGAGTAAAATCTAAAATGGTTTAATCACCTGGTTAAATGTGTATCACATCTGGTAACTAAAGGAGTTTTCTTTTTTAAAATATTTTTTTATTTTTGAGAGAGAGAGCATGTGTGCATGAGTGGGGAAGGGGTGGCAGGGCTACAGAGGATCCAAAGTGGGCTCAGAGCTAACAGCAGCAAGCCCAATGCGGGGCTCGAAATCACAAACCCTGAGATCATGACTTAAGCTGAAGCTGAATGCTCAACCGAGACACCCAGGTGCCCCTAAAGGAGTTATCTTTTCAAAAACCACAATTTGTTGAGGGATTTGTTGAGATCGCAGTCACTATTATTTGGTAAGTGTGTGTCAGTATATTTTAAAAGGGGAAGCAGAATTAAAGGATGACTTCTTGGCCAGAATAGGACAGTCTTTGGGTCAAATAAGATGTATACGCACTTTAATGGCTTCCATGAGGACCCACTGAACAAACATACTTAAAAAGGTCCTAGGAAATAAAATCAGGGCTTTATTTCTAAGGAAATACACAGAAGCTGAGGGAAAGAAAGGCTCACAAAAATGCTGACATGACTTAGGACATTCACTGATGCTGAATGGGGAGAGCAATAACCTAATTAACCATCAGTCTAAAAGTTTCCAGAATTAAGATGGGAAGAATGAGCACTGTTAGCCACTTATTTTACCCAGTCACCTTTCTACCTTCAAGAATGGCCTCTGGTACACATCAGTACAAAATGGACAGGAAAGAGAACAATGGAGTAACTGTCCCAAGAACAGGGTGGATTTTTTTGAGGGAGGGTCAGACAAAGGTGTGAAAAACAGATCTTCCTTTTGTTAGTCTCCTACCAGAAGGCTCCCAATTTGAAAGGCTTCAGAGCAAAGGTCAGGATACAGTAAACAGGAAAACGCTGATTGTTTACACCTGGTTCTGGTCTAGGCTTTAGGCATAAAGAAGACAGAAAGGGAATCCTTTGTTCCAGCTTAATAAGAGAAGGAGGTAAAGATTTGGGGCTTCTAAACTTGTATTTGCCAACAAGTGTTTACAGGTTACCTAAGAACAGCCTTATGTCTGTCTACATGGGAAAATGAACTCAAATAGAAGATAAGGAATCCCAACATTTGAGAACCTGCATTTGAAGAGCAAATTTCATACAAAAATAATGCCCCTAATAATAAAAGAGTAAACTGTAGGCTCAGCAACCTTGAGACTCTTCAAATAAGAAAGCAGTCTCCTCTATCAATGGGATACTGACCCCAATTCCAAACTAGTGTCATAGGAAAGAGGTATCCCTCTTAACAGTGTTATCTATGGATGGTAGTATTGGGGGGATTTTAAGTTATTTTTGTTTCTTCTTATCTGCATTTTTGTTTTCACTTTCAGATGATAAACATGGATTTCTAATGCAGCAGAAAGGTCCTGTGCGGATGTTCAAGGAGAACCCTAGAGGACAATGTCTTATTGATACACACATCTCACTGGGACCAGAAGTAAAACTGCATTCAAATAGCATTATCATAAACCAAGCACTACTACATCTCATCCTTTTAACTACACTGTGTTAGACAGCATCCGTACTTTACCAATGGAGGTAGGAAGCTTAGGGAGGTTAAGTAACTTTCCCAAGAACCCTTAAGTAGCATATGGCAGAGTAAGATTCTGATTATAGGTTATATGACCACAGAAAGTTAACCATTAACTATTAACCTATGCTGCCTCCAAAGCAGGAGATACCTATTATCTTTTCTCTACAAAAGCAACTTGTTCTTCACTGCATCTTTTCCTGTTAATACCCCCTGGCCAAGAATTACCCAGAAAATGGCTTCTTAAGATGAGAATTAAACCCATTATTTTTTACCCACTTGCATTCACAAACTAATGAACCAAAAAGGAAAAATGCATTTGGCATAGTACTAAAACTTCAATGTGACCAAGAAAGAAATGATAAAATGTTAGGGGAAAAAGAAAACAAAAACTAGAATTCAAATTATAGTCCATCTGCCAGCACAAAAGGTAGTAACAAAAGGTAGTAACTCTTCCTCCCTGGCTGCTAGAAGCTCAGCCATCATGAACAACACAACAACAGTAACTGTTGGGACCAGCGAGTTCATGACCAGTCCACTAGTTCAGCAGAAACAAGTGGTCACTGATGTTCTTCATCTGGAAAAGGCAAAAGTACCTACATCAGAAATTCGGGGAAAAATAGCCAAAATGTACAAGACCACATCAGATGTCATCTTTGTATTTGGATACAGAACCCATTTTGGTGGTGGCAAGGCGACTGGCTTTGGCATGATTTATGAGTCCCTGGATTATGCAAAGAAAAACGAACCCACAGTCTTGTAAGACAGCCTGTATGAAAAGAAAAAGACCTCAAGAAAACAACAAAAGAACACAAGAACAGAATGCAGAAAGTCAGGGGGACTGCAAAAGCCAATGTTGGTGCCAGCAAAAAGGAGTAAAGATTCTACAGTGACTTTATCTGTGGTGATTGTGCAGATAAATACTGCAGAAATCCTTCATGAGAGGATTAATAAACTAAGAATTAAAAAAAAAACCCACAAAAGGAAATAATATGAAAAACAAAACCTGAAGTGTTATTTCAGAAGTTAAATTGCTCATCTTAAACCAAATGTGCTGGATAGTTTTTTCTAAAGGCAACTGACAGGTCACATCCCACCATGAATGTGGAATGAGGTTGTGTTGTGCATACAAGAAATGGAACCATTTGCTTCTTCAACAAAATACAATACACATGTCAGAAAGGTCCCATCAAAAATAAGGAAGGCATGGGGCATCTGGCGGGCTCAGTGGGGCATGCCACTCTTGATCTTAGGGTTGTAGGTTCGAGCCCAACATTGGATGCAGAGATTACTTAAAACAAAATCTTAATGACAAAATAAGGCATGAAATAGCTAAGACTAAACTTAAGAAATGTGCAAGCCTAAGTGAAAAGCACAAAATTCTGGTGAAAGGACACAGGTCAATAAATGGAGTAATTCTTTGTTTTTAGACAGGAAAACTCAGTATTATAATAAATGTAATTTCCCCTTAGTCTATAAATGTGATGCAGTACCAATCAAAGCCATTATTTTTGTTTGTTTAATTGAAAAAACAAATCTAAAATTCATCTTGGGACCAAAACATGAGAAATTCCTAGGAATTTTTGGAAAGAATTAAAGAGGAGAGGTGAATAAGGGAGGGCAAGAGAGGAGAAGGGCCTAGTCCCATCAAATTATAAAACTGGGGCACGTGGGTGGCTCCACTGGTTAAGCGTCCCACCCTGGATTTTGGCTCAGGGCACGATCTCATGGTTTGTGAGTGTGAGCCCTGCGCCGGGCTCTGTGCTGATAGCACAGAGCCTACTTGGGATTCTCTGCCCCTCCTCTGCTCACACACACTGTCAAAATAAACTTTTTTAAAAAAATTATAAAACTACTAGAATTAAGACAGACTACTACTAGTATAGAAATTGAAAAACCAAATCCAGAAAGAGACCTAATAACAGGTAGCAACTCATAACCACAGGGAAAAGATCACTCAAATAATATTAGAACTATTAACTAAATCATTTATTTACAGTTGGAATTCACTTTGATGTAAATCGAAGCCTAAATCAAGAGTCAGACGCTCAGTGCTCAATCGACTGAGCTACCCAGGGGCCCAGGATTTTTTTTCTTAGTATTTATTTATTTTTGAGAGAGAGGGAAAGACAGAGCGCAAGTGGGGGAGGGGCAGAGAGAGAGAGGGAGACACAGAATCCAAAACAGGCTCCAGGCTCTGAGCTGTCAACACAGAGCCCCACATGGGGCTCAAAATCACAAGCCGTGAGATCATGACCTGAGCCGAAGTCGGACACTGAACCAACTGAGCCACCCAGGTGCCCCAGTATCTTTTTTCTAATACATGACCATAAACATTTTAAAATAAAATGGCAATCATCCTCTAATTCCTTTAGAACTTTTATGCCCTTTAATATGAACATTATTTATTCAACATGTAAGTAGCACTCTAGTTTCTCTTTTTGAAGTTATTTTATCCCATTCAATACACTGTGGAATTTTTTTTTCCCTGGGCCAATTCAAAACAATCTAGTAACCCAGTAAGTGGGTATGCCATAAACAATTCCCTACTGGGGACCATTTGTTAATTTTTTAGCTCTCCAATTAATGTCACAACTAAAACCCTTGATATATCTTGGTTCTGTTGTTTCCTCACAACACACTCACTAAAAGTTAAATCTCTGGGTCAAAGGACATGCATATCTAAAAGTTCTAAATTTTCATTAATGACTTCTTATATACACACGCAGCTTTAGTGTTTATGGAGTCAAACTGGTATATTGCGTCTGAGTTTCCTATCAGGCTTTAAAATGTATTATTGGGACGCCTGGGTAGCTCAGTTGATTGAATGTCTGACTCTTGATTTTGGCTCAGGTCATGACCTCATGGTGAGACTGGGATCTACGCTGGGCATTAAGCCTGCTTGGGATTCTCTCTCTCCCTCTGTCCCATCTCTGCACATACACTCTCTCAAAAAATAACAGAAAATTATTACATGTATTATTAATGTGAAATTATAAAACGGTGTTATAAAATGTGTTCTCTTTAATAGCTTTACTGACCCGTGATTCACACCACAAAAAATTACTCTTCTAAAGTGTAAAATTCATTTTTTTTTTTTTTTTTGGGAAATTCAGAGTTGTCCAACCATTACTATCACCTAATTTAGTAACATTCATATTACTCCACAAGAAACTTTGTACCAGTTAGGAGTCACTCCTCATTGCTTCCTCTCTACAGCCCCTGGCAACTATTAACCTACTTTCTATCTCTGTATTTGCCTACCATGGACATTTCAAATCAAAAGAATCACATAGTATGTGGCCTTTTGTGCCTGGCTCTTTTTACTTAGCATGTTTTCGAGGTTCATCCACACTGAAACATACAGCAGTACTTCATTCCTTTTTATGCCAGAATATCCCATTGTATAAAATACCAAATTTTACTTACTTGTTCATCAGTTGATGGACATTTGGATTGTTTCTACTTTTTGGCTATGATGAATAATGATGCTATGAACATCTGTGTACAGGTTTGTGTGTGTTTGTTTCTAACTGGTTAAATTTTTAATCTACCTAGAATATACTGACATAGGAATCTATTTTTTTTCCTTCCAAAACCAGTTTTATGCAATATTTACAACTATAAAACAGTAAGTCAACTGTAGTAAGTACAATTGGCTCTTGATAAGTGTATCAATCTACTGCAGTGAACATGTGTAGTTCTATTAGAGAAAAGCCAGCATTCACTATGCCGTGGAACCTAGTATTAACTAATGCTATAGAAGTCAGTTAAAGGAGGGGCGCCTGGGTGGCGCAGTCGGTTGAGCGTCCGACTTCAGCCAGGTCACGATCTCGTGGTCCGGGAGTTCGAGCCCCGCGTCGGGCTCTGGGCTGATGGCTCGGAGCCTGGAGCCTGTTTCCGATTCTGTGTCTCCCTCTCTCTCTGCCCCTCCCCCGTTCATGCTCTGTCTCTCTCTGTCCCAAAAATAAAAAAAAAAAAAAAAAAAATAAAAAAAAAAAAAAAAAGAAGTCAGTTAAAGGAGCATTCACTATACTGATTGTCCCGTATGGATTCCTATTCTAATTGCTCTATTAATCCTGATTATTCAGGTTTAGTTCCTTTATTTGTTGAATTTTTCCTTTTCATTGTGCTGGCTTTCCTCATATTTGGTGATAGATTGTGGGCTTATCTCTACTCGGGTAATTTTTTTTTTTGCTGGTGCAGGGAGGGCTGTGATGGGCAGTAGCTGTTGTTCTGCCTTCAACCCTTTTCAATCAGCATGGAGATGCTAAGTAAAACCCCAAAAATGGTTCTTCTGGTTCTTCTTTCCTCAGTCTATTAAAATAATGAATTACTTTCCAGATCACCAAGTGTGCATTCTGTAAAAACGCCTACTTCCTCATGTCACACTACAGTCTTACTGTATGCCATTAGTCAATTGATCGATCAATTGCTTTTGGAAGTGCTACATCTCTTTAAGTTAATTGGTATCTATGCGTAAATGCTTACTTTTTCAGGTTTATGTATTATATGGTTTTGCTAACTTTATAGTAGAGAATTTGCCTTTCCCTATTCTAAGACAGTATAAACAACAGAAACTGTTTTGTTTTTAAAGATTTGCTAGGACTCTGTACTACTCTGTGTCTTTTTGTGGAGAAAAACTTTCTATACATACTTAATGGTTAAGAAAACAAAGTGCTCAGAATTGTTTAAACCACCAAGAAGTAATTCTCCTAATTCCCCAGAAAAGCCCTTTATAACAATTTGATATCTATTTCCAGATGTGGCCGATACAAATGTGTGTGCACACTTCTATACATATGCTCCATTTGTGTGTATATCTCTTAACAAAGTGGCATCATTCTGTTTTGCAACTTGCTTTTTTCACTGTATGTAGACAGCTTTCAGTTCAAAATATAGACTGAACTTTTTAACAGCTTCATAATGTACTATTGCCCAGATGTGCTGTAATTTATACTTCCATAGAAACTTTTTTTTGGTTGTCTCCAGTTTTGTTTTGTTTTTATAAAAAAAAATTTTTTTTCATGTTTATTCATTTTTGAAAGACAGAGACAGAGAGCAAGTAGGGGTGGGCGGAGAGAGAGGGGGACACAGAATCCAAAGCATACTCCAGGCTCTGAGTTGTCAGCACAGAGCCCAACGCGGGGCTCGAACTCACGAACCACAAGATCATGACCTGAGCCGAAGTCAGACGCTCAACTGACTGAGCTACCCAGGTGCTCCAGTTGTCTCCAGTTTTTTTACTACCAGGACAATACTATAAGTAATGTCCCTATACAAATAAATATATTCCTATTTTGGATAAACTGCAAGAAGGGGAATGGGTCAAAGACTAATATTGCCATACTGTCTTCCAAAAATGTTTACACCAGCTTACTCATGGGGTAGATTTTGACAAGAAGACTTTTTAAAGTATGACGTAAAAACTTGAAGCCATTAAAGATAGATAAGTTTCACAATGAAGAATTGATAATTTCCTTTAAGCGAAATTACCACACTCAAAGTCAGGGTACTTTTACCTTTGGGGAAGGAAAAACTTAAACTCTTAGGACATTTGTAATTAAAATTTAACAAGGTAGGAATCACTGTTTCTTGCTCACTGCCACAGTCTCAGAACTAGCACAGTGCCTGGCATATAGGAACTTCTAGGCAAAGGAAAATTATATACAAACCAAAGATGGCCAAGAAACACAGAAAAAGATGTTCAAGCTTTAAACTCAAAAACACAAATCAAAACAACTCTCAGGTGATCTAGAAGAGAAGATTAGTAAATTTTAACAAGTGTAAACTGGTTCAACTTTTTGGAGGGTAATTTCACAATTCTCTTAAAATTTTAAGTGTATTTGTTCATCATCAATTCCACTACTACAAATTTAACTTAGAGAAAAAACTGTTAAAGTATATAGAAGTAGTTTCATTGCACTATCACTTATAGAAGAAAACAACTGGAAGCAACACAAATATCATCAACCAAAACTTAAAGTATTGAACATCTCCATAATACAGCAATATAGAAGACTCCAAAGAAGAATGTCTAAATGCTTAAAGGGAAATCCATGCGTGGAAGGAAAAAACAGGAATCTCCCAGAAAAGATAATGGGGGGCACTTGGGTGGCTCAGTCGGTTAGACATCCAACTCTTGGTTTTGGCTCAGGTCACGATCTCATGGTTTGTGAGTTTGAGCTCCACATCGGGCTCCGTGGGAACAGTACGGAGCCTGATTGGGATTCTCTCTCTCCCCCTCTCTCTGCCCCTCCCCCAACTCATTCTGTCTCTCAAAAATAAACAAACTTAAAAAAAAAACAAAGAAAGAAAAGATAATGGACAGCAAGTGTGGGCCGCAGGTTGAGGGAGAATAAAGGAAGAGTGCATACCAGAAAGGCAGATTGACAGCTGTTCGTCATCCACGGGAGATGCTTTCTGACTGTTCCTCCCACCTCCTGCTTGATTTTCGAGTTTGAGTCCACTGCATGTCAGAGGAGCCTCCAGTGGACTTTTACAGTAAGGGTGGTCCAGCAACTTAGAACTAAGAATGTTCTGCTTGAGAGATCCATCCTCATCCATCTGGCATGAGCTCTCAGTCTTTTCGGACACAGGCCCATCTACATCACTCACAGACTGACCTGCCCCAGACATGGGCAGTTTTACTCTGTCATCACTGACAGTACTTGTCCGATTTTCCTGACCCAGAGTCATAACTTCTCTTTCGTTTTCTGAGATAAACATGTTACTAGAATCATGTTCTGATAAGGGGATATCATGAATCAGCTCTGTACACTCCCACTTAGGAGAACAGGGTGACTGGTCCCAGGTGTATGTGACACTACCATTCTGTTGGTCAGGGAATGCTTCATCTAAACTAAGCTCCTTGCCCAAGAAAGGGCTTCCTTTAGTGTGGCCATCAGGCACATGAGAGTTCTTTCCCTTCATCACAGCATTGCTGTCCATATCTGGGAAGTACGGTTGATGCCGACAAGAAGGGTCTTTAGGTTCTGGGGAAGGGAATGGGCTGCAACTGCCACCCTCACTGTTTTCCCTAAGGGTCTCTTGATGGTCCCCAGTGACCTGCACCCAGCTTCGCTGGGCTTTTTTTAGCTTGCAAACTTTGCTTTTTGTTCTGAAGTGCTGGGATCTGAGAATCCTGTACCGAAATCTAATCATGGATAATTTCTCATACATCATAAGAGGAGATACTTTTATTCTTCTATGTTGGTTAAGTTGAAACTTTTTTGGAATCAGGGGTCCCCCATTCCTGTGGTGCTCCAGCCCTTGGTAGCAGCCATAACAAAAGCGCTTTCTCTTATGGTTGCTCAAGGTGACCACAATTGTGCCACTCTCACCTGGACTTTGGCTCTCCCCATTGAACTTCATGGGAAAGTCAGAAGCTTGTGGCTCCGTCCTAGGTCTGTGACCACTGACCTGACCTAAAACACTATTTGCTGGTAAGTCAGCAACCGCCTTCAAGAGACTTTTATCTCCACAGTATTCATGGTCAGAGTTCTTTGTTGATGATAGCAGCCTCTCTGCTTGGAGTTTCAGGAGGGTCCTTGAGGAGGAAATGAAGTGTTTAGAGTCTTTTCTTTTCACTTTAGAGGGCAAAGTACTAACATTCTGAGAAGCCACACTGGACTTTGCCTTAGCAAAAAAAGGTGCATCCTGGATCCATGTCTTCTGGATTTGAAGGGCCTTCTTTCTGCAATGGAAATGCCTCAGCTGCCTGCTCCAAATAATTGGCCTTCCCAATTTGGCTTTCAGAATGCACAAGTGTTGGTGAAAGCAGAACTTCTTAAAGCCTCCAAATCCAGTATTCCATTTCTCAGAAAAGGCTAAATGGATTCCTTTCCTCCATAAAATTTTCTTCTGTTTTTTCATTTTTCTGATGCATAATGAGATCTTGATGCAGCTGTGAAGAGAAAGAAGAGTTACACATTTACCCTAAAAATGTCATTAAGATACAATCACAGCATTAGAAGTTAGAAAACTCTTAGGGGCAAAAAAAAGCCTATGAAGTGCAATTTAGACTATCAGACATAACGAAATCCTTACCTGATTAAGGTTTTCCCCACAGTGAAAACTGGAAGACATGAATACTCTCACATGACCCCATTTGGTATAGCTGACTCTGACAGAAATGTCAAGATCATTTCCCAAAATGCAGTCAATTTCTGATGGAGTAAACAGGGTAGGGAGTCAGAAGAAAATCGGTCAGTGTTGACACTGCTTCTTGTTAGCTAAGTGACTTTAAGTCAGTCACCCAAATTCTGTGTTCTCATTTGTAAAATGAAGGATGGGGAAGGAGGGGGACAACATACCATTTAAAACTGATTCCATATAAAAAGAGTGTGTTCTAGGGGTGCCTGAGTGGCTCAGTCGGTTAAGGGTCCGACTTCAGCTCAGGTCATGATCTCACAAGGTCAGGAGTTCGAGCCCCGCATCAAGCTCTGGGCTGACAGCTCAGAGCCTGGAACCCACTTCGGATTCTGTGTCTCCCTCTGTCTGCCCCTCCACTGTTTGCACTCTGTCTCTTGCATGGTCTCAAAAGTAAATAAACATTAAAAGATTTTTTTTTTTAAAGAGTGTGTTCTATACATCAAATTTTAGAAAGGAAGGGCGATACTTTTGCTGGGTATAGACATCTAGAGGCAGACAATGCAAGTAACATCAGTACCTCAAGAGGGAAACCAGCTTCCTCTTTGTCAGTCAGTCAAAAACTTTGAGTGACTATGCAGGGATATGAGCCCATCAGGTGCTCTCACACAGTTAGGGTTCTGATTCTCAAGTGAATCTAAGTAAAAAAGCACACGCACAAACACGCATATATGAAGTTCAGGGACACACTTATTAGGAATGATAGATGAAAATGATAGTCAAAAACCAAACAGGATCCCTCCTCAGATTTAATAAGATCTAGCACTACTGAAGGCTCTTCAGTGCAGAATGAAAGGTGTCGGCTGTTGTGGGTGGTGGGGCAGAAGAAATAATAGACTATGAATCAAAAAACTAATAATCTAATTTCAGCTTGCTATTAACTTATTAAGAAAAGTTGTATTACTTTTTTGTGCATCAGTTTTCTCTGGGAAAAAAAAAAAAGGACTGAGCACATGTTTACCTCAGTTCCCTCTCCAAATCCCACTAAGATGACAGAAATGGGTTTTAAGAAGGGAAAACTCTCACGGACAAAGAAAATTAAAAAGCAGACAAGAAAGGGCGCCTGGGTGGCTCAGTCGGTTGAGTGTCCAGCTTCGGCTCAGGTCATGATCTCACGGTTGGTGAGTTTGAGCCCCGCGTCGGGCTCTGTGCGGACAGCTCAGAGCCTGGAGCCTGCTTCAGATCCTGTGTCTCCCTCTCTCTCTGCCCCTTCCCCACTCATGCTCTGTCTCTCTCAGTCTCTCAAAAATGAATAAACGTTAAAAAAAACTTTAAAAAAAATTTTTAAAAAAGCAGACAAGAATACAATTTTGGTTTTTTTTGGTTTTTTTTTTTTTCAACGTTTATTTATTTTTGGGACAGAGAGAGACAGAGCATGAACGGGGGAGGGGCAGAGAGAGAGGGAGACATAGAATCGGAAACAGGCTCCAGGCTCCGAGCCATCAGCCCAGAGCCTGCCACCGGGCTCGAACTCACGGACCGCGAGATCGTGACCTGGCTGAAATCGGACGCTTAACCGACTGCGCCACCCAAGCGCCCCACAAGAATACAATTTTGAAAGAAGAAAGCACATAACAGAGTGATGAGAAGGCCAAAAGAATGAAAATCTAAGCCAGCAGCAGGGGAAGACCAGAAGCAAGTTACAGGACCTCAGAAAGGCTCAGGAATAGAAGCAACAATACCTATGAAGGTCAAGAGAAGGGAGTTCAAAGGGTACCTGGCTAGCTCAGCTGGTAGAGCCTGCAACTCTTGATCTCAGGGTTGAGTTCAAGCTCACGTTTGGTGTACAGATTACTTAAAAATAAAATCTTTAAGGGGCACTGGGTGGCTCAGTCAGTTAAGCATCCAACTTCAGCTCAGTCACGATCTCACTATTTGTGAGTTCAAGCCCCATATGAGGCTCTGTACTGACAGCTCAGAGCCTGGAGCCTGCTTTGGATTCTGTGTCTCCCTCCCTCTGTGCCCCTCCCACACTTATGGGGTGTCTCTCTCTCTCTCTCTCTCTCTCTCTCTCTCTCCCTCTCTCAAATAAATATTAAAATTTTTTAAAAAATAATAAAAATTTTTGTAAAACAAAGAAGGGAGCTCAAAAAGGAGGGACCCATTTAAAGTCTGAATAAGAAGCAGTTAGACCCCCAAGATGCGCATTCTCCTACCCTGGCAGATAACCAAAGTTTTACTTTCTGGGGAGGACGAACCAGGCTAGTCAGGCACATCATGCACAACTGAAGGCAGGGGTTCAACAGGATATAGGATTTTACACAGTGAATTCCCTCCCCAACCCATTTCCCCATTTAGATCCCAGAAAAAGGTTTATAGCTTAAGGAAGAGATCAGCCCTGGGAGCAGATACTGATTTTTGGGGATGCCTCAACTAAACAGGCCCGAACAATTACCCTACACTATACCCCAGAGTTTAAGCAGTGAGACCCCAAATCCCTCCCCAACTCCACCCAGGAGGTAACTGCCTCTCTACTACCCAACTTTGGAAGTTTATTCTCCAGAAAGGGTAAAAGTGAATGAAGCTCTGCAGCCAGGGTGATCCCAGACACAATATGAAGATGGATTTATACACTAAATATACGCATCCCAACACTTTCCCACTCATTTCCCAGAACCTTGGCAGTTTGCTTTACCATCCAAGTAGGAAATTAGAAGATTCTTCTCTGGGGAATCTGAATAGTCCACAAGAAAATACATACAGATATCCCCCCAAAATGGCCCAGGGTGGCCCACAGTACATCTCAAAGTTGCCAAGTCTCACCGCATGTTCTAAATTACCAAGCAACCTCTTAGTGGTTATTCTTTAAAATGACAGGAAAATCCAAGATTCACCAGATTTCTAGGGTTGACAAGTGGACCAAAATAAACATTTAAAAAAGCAAAAACTTACATAGAGAAGTCCACTTCAAAAAACTAACGGAGGGGGCACCTGGATGGCTTAGTCAGTCGAGCGTCCAACTTTTGGCTCAGATCATGATCTCACAGTTCGTGAGTTCGAGCCCCACATCGGGCTTGCTGCTCTCAGTGCAGAGCCCACTTCAGATCCTCTGTTCCCTCTCTCTGCCCCTCCCCCACTTGCACTCTCTCAAAAATAAATAAAACATTAAAAAAATTAAAAATAAAATAAAAATAAAAAACTAAGAGGAGGAGGAAAGAGGAGTTCTTGTTTAATGGGTACACGTTTCCACTTAAGAAGATGAAAAAGGTTCTGAAGATGGATTGTGGCCATGGTTGCACAGCAGCGTAAATGTATTTAATGCCACTGAACTGTATACCTAAAAATGTTTAAAACGGTAAAAGTTGGGACACCTGAGTGGCTCAGTGGGCTAAGTGTCTGACTTCAGCTCAGGTCATGATCTCGTGGTCCATGGGTTCGAACCCCACGCTGGGCTCTGTGCTGATAGCTCAGGGCCTAGAGTCTGCTTCAGACTCTGTCTCCCTCTCTCTCTGCCCCTGCCCACCTTGCACACATGCTCGCTCTCTCTCTCCCTCTCTCTCACACACACACAAAAATAAACATTAAAAAATATTTTTTTAATAAAATGAAATAAAATGGTAAAAATTATGCTATGTATATTTACCACACTAAAAAACAAGAGGGAAGGAAAAAAATCTAACAGTATCTTCAAAGTAAAAAAAAAAAACACAAACAAACTTATATCCACTGGGGGGAATATAATAGCATGTTTTATGTTGTTTTCTTTAAGTTTGTTTATTTTTGAGAGAGAGAGAGAAAAAACAAGCATGAGCCAGAGAGGGACAGAGAACGGAAGAGAGAGAATCCCAAGGAGGCTCCACACTCCACGCAGAGCCCAACTTGGGACCTGATCCCACAACCATGAGATCATGACCGGAGCTGAAATCAAGAGTCAGATGCTCAACGAACTGAACCACGCAGGTGCCGTTTTGTTTTTGTTTTTCTAAAGCAACAATCAAAAATAATAAAGGGACCCTGGAAATTTAAAAGAATTGAAAAACTCAGTAAAAAGTAAAGGGCTAATATCCCTAATATAAAGAACTTTCTTAAATTGAGGGATAAAGAAAAAAAAAAAGCCTGATGGAAATATGGGAAAAAGACATAAGGAGACATTTCACAAATATTTTTAAATAGCTCTTAAACATAAAAGATGTTCAACTTAAAAAAAAAAAATGGGCAAAGAGGGTTGGGGAGTTGTGCAAAATGAGTGAAAGGAGTCAAAATGTAAAAACTTCCAGTTATAAAGTAAGTTATGGAGATGTAATGTATAGCACGGTGATTATAGTTAATAATGCTGTACTGTGTATTTGAAAGTTGCTAAGAGAGTAAATCCTAAAAGTTCTCATCACAGGAAAAAAAAACTTTGTTACTAAGTATAGTAGTAGATGTTAACTGGACTTACTATAGTCATCATTTTGCAATGTATACAAACAGCAAATCATGATGTAGAACTGAAAATGATATAATGCTATATGTTAATTATACCTCAATAAAAAGGTGGGCAAAAACTGTGACAACACATTCTGTTGGTGGGAGAAAAGAAACTTTCATACTTTGCTAATAGGAATACAAACCGATAAAATCCTTTTGGAGGAGAATTTGATAATATCTAACAAACCCTGGTATTTACCTTTTAATCTAGCAGCCCCACTTTTAGGAATTTATCCTTAAGATACACCTCCAATAATAATGAAAATACAAAATCAAGGTTAGTCATTACGACATTGTAATTGCAAAATACTGGAAACCTAACAGGAAGGTAGTTGAATAAAGTAT